CACCGTCTGTTTGATTACATGACATTAACTAACTGCTTGATTTTTACCGTGCATTTCTGCCATATGGACATCAAATTGAGATAGTCACCACTGATAAGCTAGTACTAAATATAATGTAGAAACTTTAATGGGGAGCAGGTGGGGGTTCGGTGCCTTGCTCAAGGGTCTCACCTCAGTCATAGTATTGAAGGTGGAAGAGAGCCCTGGTCATTCACTCTCCCCACCTACAATCCCTGCCGGTACCGAGACTCTAACCAGCGACCTTTGTGTTACAAGTCCGACTCTCTAACATTAGGCCACGACTGCCCAACTGACTGCCCAGAAACTATCCCATTTGTAAGAAACTATCGGTATTGAGTGACAACGTCACAATTACAAGGAAAAAGTAGCAATTACCCTTTTCTTTTTGTACTCTGGGGTGGAAACATTCATAAGAAACAGAACGGTCAGATAATTAACACAGTTTGTTCCATGTCATGCATGAGACAATGTAGGTCAGCTTTTCAAGTGCCAAGCAAGAAGGCAACATAAGTTTTGTGAGTCTGATAGCGGGGGGGCCACATCACATGAGCATTGAAGAAATGCTCTCTGATACTGGCACAGTAACATCCAATTTGATCAGCGAAATTCTGTATGGCATCCTCCACATGTCAGTAGTGTCACACCAGCAGCAGTAAGTCACAAGACCTCATTAGCCCAGTTGGTCGGAAGCTCTCCCCGTGGAAACACATAGCTTGAGGGAAAAAGTGCTTTTGCCCTGGAACGGTCATACAATACAAACACTAGTGTAACCAATTCCCATTAGTTACCACTTATATTAATAAAAAAGCCAATGTTTGAGTGAGCAGAATGCAGAGGTCCTGTTGATTTATATGAAGACCTTTATTACCCCTTGGCGATATCATCAGCAACACTATCACAAACCATTTGACTTTTCAAATGTCTTCTGTGTCAAGTTTAAGCTTACCAATGAAAGGTACAGAGATCTGCTTTTGTTTTGTTTTTTAGTATTTTTAACATTCAGCTAGGTTTGTCAATGATAACGCCTTCCAGGTCAATGAACTTAACTGACCACATTGCAAAGAAAAACTCTCTGTCATACGCATTTGTGCTCCACAACATCATGCTTGGATGGGAAAGGTCTGATTTTTTTGGAGTAAAACTCCTTGTACAGGGTCCTGGTATCTCTAGGTTGTGGTCAGTGAGTGAATTCCTCATCCCCGATCCGAACACTATCAGAACAGCTGGATTCCTCTCTACCTTCAAAACCCATTTATAGACACGGTCAACACTTGATTCACAACAGCTAATAAATTGCTTTAGCTGAATCTGTGGTTCTCAACTTTTTTGACTCGAAGGTCACCTGTTGTCCAACAAATATTTCTGCTGTCATTATGACAAAGCTGCTCGTTTTCAAACTTTTACTAACAGAAACTCGGAGCCCTGATATTAAATTAATGAACCACAATTTATTTTGTGACTCCAGAAGTTTTAAGAACAGTGTGTTTAATAAAAACTATAGTTATTGAGGGAAATCAAAATAAACAGGATTAATTTTACATCTTGATTTTAGCATTTTAATTTAGATTATTTTATTTTAATATATTAATTTAATAACTTAAATACTTTTGAGTCATCTTGCAGCCCCTTGAAAGTTTGTTGAGGCCCCCTAGTGGGCTCCGGCCCCTGTTTGAGAACCACAATACTAAATAAAACTGTCCTTTTAAACCTCATGACCAACAGAGATGCATTACTGTATTGATACTAAAATGTTCAGCTGTTATTTTTACAATAAAAGTCTCATAGACCTAACTAAAGAATTACGTTCTACACCTTAATCAGTTGCACCTTACTGTACAATTTTTATTTTTTTTGCATTATCATAGGTGGATGCACAAATGTGTGGTTGAGATCATTTGTTCATTCATTTAGTACTCCTTTACTGGTCTTTCCTTCTTTACTGGTCTTTCCTTTCTTGGGGCACTGAAAGAATGGGTAGCTTTCCTCATTGTTTTAAGTGGTCCTGACTCACCGACCATGATAGGAAGCAAAGTGTGTTCCTCTCTTTCTCCTGAAGAACACAGATGTTTAAACTGAACTCAGGGAAAGGAAATAAACACTTCCACATGAAATCTACCCACTGAGGCCTCCTCCCCTCCCTTCAGCTCATTTACACTGCAGTAAATCTATCAGCCGGCCATATAAAAACCTACAATGTGTATATATGAAAAGGAATTGTGTTTGATATACAATGTGAAATGCAGCAGGACTGAAATTTGACTACGCATACAATAGAAATGCATGCAGAAAGTAAGGGCACAGCTTCGACAGCCTGATGTGATCCAGACACTAAATACCTTCATGGTAGCCCCTGACCACTGGCTTAATGGCATTTCACAGTGCCCTTTATATTGGTTTAGGATAGATTAGCATTATCCCTGTGCAAACCGAGGCTGTGGACATGCAAAATACACACATGCATTTTCTCCCCAGGCATAGCCTAATCCAGCCCGATGTCAAATCCCACACAGAAGCTCCCAGACAGAGAGATGTAGAGCAGTGTGTCATTCCACCCCTATAGAAAGCAGCTCAGAGTGGGAAACTGATCTAGGATCAGCATTTGTTTAGAGAAATCTGATACAGGATAAATTGTCCTGCTGTGAAATGCATCATGATAACAAGTCAACAGCCAGTCTGGAAAAGATGTAAATGAGTTTGTTTGTTCATCAGAGCAGAATTGGAGAAATTTAGCATTACATCATTACATGAATGGGTGCCGTCAGAATGAGAGTCCAAACAGCTGATAAAAACATCACAATAATCCACAAGTAATCTACACGACTTTAACCTGTTGCTTCTGCCCAAAATATGAATCTAATAATGCTTCCACCAGTAAAAAAGTTCATCCCCTGTTGCCCTCTCACACAGACACAGACACGTTTTTGCTTGATCTGTTCACATTTCTCTTCTAATTCTGACAAGATTACTTTTTCCACTGTAGAAAGCAATATTATGGATAGAGGACTCATTAAAAACGTCTTAATTATGAATTTGTTTATTACAAACACAGCTTTTCACTTCACAAGACATTAATTGATGGACTGTATTTGTGTGTATTACCGGAGGATTACTGTGATGTTTTTATCAACTGATTGAACTCTCATTCTGACGGCACCCATTCACTGCAAAGGATCCAAAAAGTAAAAAAAAAAAAAAGTCAAATAATTTAATTCAATAAAGTATAAAAGATGCTTTTCAAAGAAGACATTCATGTCATTGTATGTACGAACTGCATTGCATTTTTAAATAAACTAGTAAATTAAACAAAAAATGAGTATCATGTCATTGACCCATTAATTTTTCCTCACTTTAAGACGTCCAAAACTTCCATCCCATGTAACTTTCGCTCTAAGTGCCACAACTTTGCTGACATTACCGATAACACTGTTTTCTCAGCTGAAGAGTAACAGGCTTATTCCATCGATCAATACAACAGCGTTGAAAGGTATTCCTATTACATATTACCTCCAGAGAGAGCTGCCAGGGCACAGACTGTTAGTGAGGTCACCACAGGACTGAGTGTCTTAATGTAAAAATCAATGAAGATTAATAAATGAATTTGTTGTGTGCTGCATTAACTGTGCTGAAGGTTATGGATGGGCTGTGAGCTCATTATTAGACAATGTAAATAATAATGGCCCACAAAAATGAAAAAGGCCACATGACTGGCATGAAGACCCACAGCAGCTTGTATGGACAAGAGCGTATGAAGTCTTGAACCACACAAAATTCACTTTAAGCTCAGCTTAATGCATTTCATATCAATAATTCATCCTACAAGTCTAAAGCATGGGGAGTCTGAGATCATCAGCCTGTTCAAGACAAAAAAAATTAAGACTTTGTTGACAAACTCAGAAACAGATGGCATTTGTTGCCAAAAACATTTTCATAATTCCCAGACAGCATGATAGATTATAAACAGTGAAACTCAACACCAGAATGTATATGCGGTGTGTATGAGAGAGAGAAAGAGAGCTGGAGCTGGGCCCAGTAGTGCTCTGGGAATGCAGACCGAGTTGATTGGCTGATTTCCTGATATTGTCTTTAGTCATTTGGTGAAATAGGCAGAAGCATACAGAGCAGGGCGAGCAGTATAACTCAAACCATGTGATGAGGCAGAGCCCTGTGGGGAGTCACCACAGCTTCAGCACAATGGACAGTCTGTAGGGCCTTTACCTGGGAATTACGGCTCACTCATCAACTCCTCATAAAGGATTAAAGCGAAAGAAATGACGAATGGGCTTAGAAACGTGAAAAACGGCATCACATGTGATTTTATTTAGTGAGGCATGCTTTAAACTTATCAAAGAGCATCTGCAAAGGGTCTTCAGAATATCAGACCTTCCACGAAATGGATTTTGTCAAGTTACACTTATTTCAACTTGACTTAACCTGGGGCAAAAAGTTTCACAATGCTTAAGAAAAGAGATTCATTCACTCGTAATTAAGAAATGCATTACATGCAGTCCAAAACAAAGATGAAAATAAATGTGCAAAAAATCTGAAATGTAACAGCATAAATATAAAAAATAATAATAATACTAGTACTGCTGCTCAGGCCCTTTTTTTCAGGGACGCACAACCCAGGTCTTGTGAATTGACCCATGAAACTTTGGTCTTGTCTGTGAATTTTAGCAACAGCCATGCAACTATAAAATAAATTAATTAAATTAAATAAATATTATATATATATATAAACAAATATTGTGTAAATAAAAATATATTTATAATATTATATTATGTTATTATTGTTGCAGTCTAATGACAAAATAATTAAAACTAAATAATTAGGTCTATCTCTACTTAGCCAAGTCACCCAAATAGTAAATTATGCAATATTTTCATGCATAGCTGGTACTTGGGAAACAATTCCTTAATGATTTGTTTACAGGAAATACATAACAGGGGGAAAACAAGTTAGATTAAGGCACTCTTCTTACCTTGCCTCACAGTTTTCAACCTAATAGGTCCCTTGCAGTTCTTGATCACTGTCAGCACATCATACAGCGGCAATCCAGAGACAGAGAGCGTCTCCACTTCCAGCAGTAATTCCCCCTCGGACACTTTCCCATGTCTGTACTGTACGGCATTCCCGTTAACGTGTCCGATATAGGCGAACTCACCGTTCTCCGCACCGCCGAGCAGCTGCACGTTCAGCTCGCCGCGGGCGTCCTTAGAGATCGTGCACTCGTTAACTTTGGTGGTCCAGTGATTCTTTTTCTGTACCACTTTGGACATGATGAATCAAGAAAATCCGTCCAGAAACAGGTGGTTCCGCTAACAGACGAGAAAGCGAAATAGTTTCATAGAATGAAATATCCCACGCACACGCGGTAAAGTTTCTTTTCCGTCTCCTCGGTCATGAATGCAGCTTCTTCGCAGCCCAAAAAAGAAAGAAAAAAACAAATCAAGCCATTGTCCGGCTGTTCACCAAATGAAATTCCCACTCCGACCGCTTCTCTAATAATTAGCCTGTATTGTTTTCCTCATCTTTTTAACATCTTTCCCCTGTAATCCTCTCGGTTGCGCTCATCTGCTTGTGTTTTAATTTCATAAACCTCTCTAACTACACTTCTTTAAGTCTTAAGCTGTTTCCAAAATAGTTAGTTTTTTTTCTAAAACACTTCCAAGTAAAATTCTCGCAGTTTTCCTTGGCGCACAGACTATGTCGATGAACGTTTCCTCCTGGTTCCCGGCTCCTTTAAACAGGTACAGCGTTGACGTCTGCTTTGATACATTTCATCCTGTTCTGCCTGCTCGCAACCAGGGATGGAGCGAATGTAACGTGCGCGCATGCGCACTATTTCCCTTCGGCCTCTTGAGGGAATCCTCACTGCGTCCATCACCAGGTCCTAAAGTCCGTCAATTAGACGTTAATAATATTTACGACCCTAAGGCGATTTCTGGAAACTCTTGATTAAATATCTCCCACATTATATATCTTTCAAATGCTGCAATAAATAAATGCAAACACAGACATGTATGAATAATCGCACCTGGATTTTACACGAGGCTATAGTCAGCATCTAAAAACTGGTTAATTGTAATGAGATTAATTGAAATCATCTCCAGAATCACTGTACTGGGCCTGAGCAATAAATCATGAAAGATTTTCAAATGTAGACTTTTTGTCTTTGTTAGTCTATGTTTAAGACTTGCTGTTTAAAAGACAGGAATTTGTTTCCTACACTCTTGCACAGCCAGTTGTATCTGTTTGCCAGGAGTTGGTTTGTGTAGAAATTTAGCCTAGCATAGGGGTTCACCCTTGTTATTCAGGTTCGACCTGCCTAACATGTCTGTTGTCCTAAAAACAATTGTACCATATTCTCCGAAACGTTGTTTATAGTGTCTATATATTTATGCAGTAATATCACAAATGTATTGTTCATAATTACATTTGCAGATGTAGCAGTAATAGCAGTATTTTTACAAAATTATTGTTGTATTTAAGATTTTCACATTATAAAATGTTCTATACTATTATGTAAAATATATAATGTTATTATATTATAATTTTTAGATTGTATATAATATTTTTGTGTTTTTCTGTTTTGTTTTTCTGTTCTCTTAATTTATAATGAGCGAAATTAATTTAAAATGGGTAGTTATTCTATACTGATCAAGATTAAAAAAAAACAGTACTGGTATTGGATTGGCATCGGTATCTACAAGGCTGCAGTATTGGTATGTGTACCAGATGTTAAAACATCAAGCCATATAATTATTTTTAGCAGTGTCAATATTGTCATGATCAACCATTCCATTAGTTCTTTGTAAATTGAAGGATTTTTACATAATGTAAGTCTCTTTTCAAGTACACTGTATTTTCTTCACCACTGTCACTTTCTCATCTGTGTCAGTAGTCATACAGTATTTTTCCTGCATGTGTTTGTCTGACAGCATGTTACAGCCTGACACGTGAAGGGCCGTCGTCGTGATCAAATGGGCTTTGCGGTTCACCTTGGGAAAAGCAAATGAGCTCTCTGATCCTAAAAATAACATTCAAAGTACTCCTTCTCCCTGGAGACGCCAACCATTGGCCTGGATGGGACAGGAAACAGAGTGCTTTTAAGCTTAAACCATGCAAGTTCTCCTCCAGTCGTCAGCGGAGCTATCAGACGCTCGCCGCGTTCACGCCATGCAATCAGTGCAATGAATGATGGGATATGTAGTCCGGGGTGATATGCAACAGTGTGTCGTGCGAGAGTCAATGAAAATGGAAAGGGTGACCTCTGATGGCTAGCAGACGGAAGTTCATGGACCGGATACGTAACAAGTACATTAGCCTATTTGTGCAGCATTACTCGTTCACCACACAATCCCATTGTGAACTCTCAAATCAGGTTTCTGCATGTTTATTTATTTTAGTTTCTAGCTGGGTTTGACATTTAAAAAGCATCTAAAAGCAATATTTAATAGCCTACATTTGTACTAATTGTAACTGTACTCGGCTTGTGACAAGCATCGCTATCTTACATATTGCCTATACAGATTTTGCAGTCCATGGCATGATATTCACTAGTTCAGTGCTGTTCAGTCATTGCTTAGGGTTTTGGCAAGCAGTATGTCCTCATCTATAATGAAAAAATTACCTATTGACCTCTTCTTGCAGAGAGGAGAGATGGAGAAGAAAAACAAACATAAAACTGTGACATACCACTTTTGTGTAATCTCTCATAGTCACAAAATGCAGGGCAAATAAATATATATTTTTGATTAAAGTGATTTGGCATAGTGTTGAGTGCTGCATTCACACTATAGGTGTAAGTATTACAAAAAAAACTACTGAGTGCATATTAAAAATGTATCATAAATTTGAATCATTTAAATAAAATATTTTAACTACAATGCATAGGTTTTGTAAATCAGTTTTACCGGAATCAGACAAAAACGTTGATTATCAGTTATTATTTCATGTGTTGTTATATACAGCATCAGTATTGTATTTTACTCTTTAGGGCCTGAACACAAGAGTGAAAACTGAGTAAATAGCTTTCTAATAAATGTAATATGGCAAATTAAAATAATATAGATAAGGGAACATTAATGTAAACTGTGTATTTAGGGCCTCCAAGTAAACACATGAATGATGTCAGCCTCACTCTTGCTGCATAATCTTCATTATGTAACCAGCTGACTAGTTGCTCAATTTGAAGGCCTTTGCTCTTCTTCAGTCTTATTCTTTGTCTCTCTTTCTCTGTGGCTGCAATCCTGTTCATTAGCTTAACATAAATGCACTCTGAGTGCTATCCAATTGCTGGAAAGTACCATAAAACCCTTCAAACATCCTTTGGTCAGAAATATGATCCCTTAAAGCTCTTCAGTGGATGGATTAAAAGAATTAGCTTTTTTTTTTCGTCTCTCTATTTTTTAAGTCCAGTTTGATTTTTGGAATGATTCATTTTGGAAAATTAATCCTTCTTTGAACGTCATTATCAAAGCACAGCTACATCTAAAAAAAAATCCCTGTTGGAATTCATTGGTGACTAGATGAGAAGGGGTGCATGCAAAACTATTCTATTAAACCCAAATGGTCCCTTCACAGTGATATGTGCGGTATTCTAAATAAACTTTCACTCTAAGCATGGATGGACATTGGAATCAGCCCTGATAGGTTACACCCAACAAACAAGATGAAGAAAAGCCTTTTGTTCTGTTTTAATTTAACTGCTGGTCTTATGCTTGATGTTACTGTTTGAAGAGGAATGGTAAATGTCTAGATGTGAAATTTGTGACCTTGCTTAGCCATTTGACCTTGAGAGTGTGTGTGTACATGGACAAATAATGAGAAAAATATTTTTGCTCGGTTTCCTGTGGCTTACACTATCAGAAAAAAGGTACAAAGTTGTCACTGGAGTGGTACCCTGAAGTACAAAAGCTAAAAGGTGCATCTTTTACCCCTAAATGTTACATAGAAGTACCTTAAAGGACCTATATTAGTACTTTAAAAGTACATATTAGTACCTAAAGTGTTTATATTAGTACCTTTATCTCCTTTCCTTTTATGTATAACTCGATCATCATGTGACAATATATATTTAGCATATTTCTTTGATAATCAGGCTTTTCATGTTATTCACGTATTAATTTATTCTTGCTTACATTTTGATGTTTTGCTTTGTACTTTTCGTCGTCAATATCAATGACAACTTACATTTAACATGTGAAATTTGTTCCTTTACTGCATGTAAATGTTGACAGAATTTGGGGGGGTAAACAGTCCCTTTAAATCTGCTTATACTAAGGCTTCAGTTCAGCTTTGGCTTTTGCTCCTCACCACCCACTTTGTGTGGTGTACAGATTCAGTAAACCGCAGCTTTATAAGAGACCCTCCTGCTCTCTATGTGCATGTGTAGCATGTCTATATGTGTGTTTCTAACCAGCAAGCTCCTGTAGAAGCTGGAACAGCTCCAGAACATGCAGTGTGGCCCCAGTACAGGACTTTCTCACTGCTGGCCTTCTACCACAAACCTCCCTGCCAGAACACGTCATTTAAGTCCGAGTGGCTGATGCGCAGTGACTGTGACCCCTGTTTCTCCTTTTCATTTGATTCCATCTGCCTTTCCATTCCTTCCTGCAAGCAGCCCCTATTGCAGAGGGCGAACTATATACATTTTTCTCTCCCAACCCCCTTCTCGATCTCAGTCGATGAACACAAGATAAGCATGCTGGCATATCATGCAATATGTCAGTCCAATGATTTTTTAATCTATTTGAAATGTATTTATTTAGAATTCATTTATTATGTAATTTATCAGCTGACCTACTTTATATGGTTCCAGTGTCAGCTTCCTCTGAGACTGCAGGAATGCTTTGAAAGTGATGTGGAAGGATGAGCTCCATTCTGCTGTGATCAGTTTCAATAACAATATTACCTACAAATTATACTGCATTTTTGATCCTTTCCTCCTCTTTTGGAGCATGAGTGAGTGAATGAATTACAGTAAGCGCACAACCCTGACTGGCCTGTGAGTTAGACACAATATACTGAATGTGATTATGCAAGACGAGGACTTTGTACCCTTTAAATGCTAATTTTGCAACCTTATAAAATGGTAGGGGAGATTTTAGGTGTGACACACAAACATGAGGTGAATATTAGGCCACACTGAAACAAATGTGTCTATAATGAAGCACTTTTGTGGAAAAGAAACCTGAGATCAAAAACATCACTCTGATCAAGGGCCACACTTCTGCCCCTAATACCTTATTCTACGTTAAACAACAATGGTGATTTGGTTAAAAAAAACTCAACTAAATAGCAAACGGTTTAGGTGGACTAACATTAGATGATGAATAATCTTCTAAGAGTGGCCCTGTTGAGATGCACTGTATGCACCAAATGTTTCCGCTTGTGCTCATTGATTCTGTATCTGGATTGTATCATTTGAAAATGATGACATTGTTCCTGACACACTGTATATAGCAACTCAAAGTCAACAAATGTGTTGTACTGACTATGACACAGTGAAATAAAAACAAGATATTTAATGTTTGATAGCTTTTATAAATATTTGAACAAAGGAAAGTGAAAAAACTATACACAGACTTACACTGCATACTGTAGCATTCCAGGCTTTCAAAGACTCCCCGACTTACAAAAATAGTCATTATCTTCCAAATTATGACTTTTTTATTTTCTTTTTTTATGTATTTTCTCTTTATTTTAATTAATTATTTATTTACTTATTTATTCATTCGTTTATTTCAAATAAATTAATACTTTTGTTCAGCAAGGACACATTAAATTGAT